GCAGTGGCGCAAAATCCCAGTGCCAAAAACTGAACTAGGTTTGTTAATGCTCGCAACAGCTGCAAACTCAGGATAAATGAAAGTGAAGAACTCCACAAATAGGGAATTAGAGATGAACTGCTTCTTGCGAATTCCAACGGGTCTCGATTCTTCTGGTAGCTACAGCTGTTTATCAGACATTTACAAAATCCACAACTCCATCACCAATATAGGCGGACGGTTCAGTTGCAATAACAGCCATAGAAAAAGCAAACCTACTAGCTGAACAATTTGCGTCCCACTCCACAGTGGAATTTCTGAAAAAGGCACCACCCACTATTTCCACACTAGAATCCACAATGCCGAAATTTACTTTCCGACAGCGTCCAGGCAAATTTTGAAATAGCTCAATACCAACAAGGCATCTGGCCCAGATTAAGTGCCCGTCGTCGTACTCAAAAAGTGTACAAATGAACTTGCAACAGTATTTTGTAGCTAGTTATATCAGGAACTGATAGTACACCGGTATACCATTACAGATGCATGTTCCCAGACCAGGTCGTTAGCCGATCCAGCCTGCTTACTCAGCATTGCGTCATATGCGAACTTATTTATACACCTTGTTTTCTTATTCATGTCATTCAATTGTAGTTATTTGCCTTAAATGTACAAATAAAGTTTTGAAAAAGTTTCAAAGCAAATCCTTCGAAATAATTAGCTTTTCAACCTGTCTTACAAAAAAGAAGATTGCTCGCGTTCAGCCTGAACCCAAAAAGGGCAATAAAAATATTTCAAATAATTATAGACCAGTCGCTCTGCTATCAGTGATATTAAAATCACGGAGAAAGTCGCAAACCACCATATCCTCAAATATTTGGAAGGCTTCAACATCTTAAGCGATCATCAATATGGCTTTCGAAACCAAAGATCAACGGGCGACCTTCTATGTCACCTATATTTGGAATAACGCAATTGAGGAACATAGAGAATTGAGAGCTGTTGCGCTTGTTATTGAACGATCAAATGCTACTTGTCTTCAATGGTGAGGTCATTCCATTTGGAACGGAGGTGAAATATCTTGACATTGCCCCTGATAAAAAACTCACCTGGAACGCTCATTTAGAATAAGTTTTACACAAAGCCAGACTATCCCTATGGACATGACTCAGGGTTAATGGTACAACTTGGGGTTTAGGTCCCAAACAAATCCATTGGATTTATGTGGTGATTGGCAGACCAATGATCACCCATGGTACAATTGCCTGGTGGCCGAAGGCTTTACAGAAAACGGTCCAGGCGAAGCTCTCTAGTTGACAGAGACAGGCTTCTCCGGCCATCAGTGGTGCCATCAGTACCACACTGTCAGCAGCCATGGAGATCCTTCTAGATCTACCTCTCTCCACATTTTTCTGAAGAGAGAGGCTTGATGGAATCATACACAAATCAATAAAAATATTTTCGGACAGTCAAGCGGCGTTGAATGCTCTTTGCTCCTACCTAGCAACATCTAAATTGGTATCAAATTGCCGAAAACAACTCTCCTCGATAGGAAGACAACAGATTGTCTCTGGTGTGAATTTCTGGCCATACTGACCTGGAAGGCAATGAGGATGCTGACTCCTTTGCATAGGAGGGTGTTGCAAGCAGCTACCTTGGGCCAGAACCTGACATCGGCATTGCTTTACCAAAAAAAGATTGAACACCTCGATGGCAAGAAGATTTAGAAGATTTATGGACTTCTGGCGGAGTCTTCTAGGATTGGCTTACTCCAGACGTTTATTTACCCTTCGAAGCTCGATACCAAACAGTTGCTGGACTATAGCTGTCACTGTCACTGTCATTTGAATCATCATATGCAGAGACTCGGACTGTCGGAAGACAGTGTGTGTCGCCTCTGTTTGGGAAATGATGAAACAGCAGAAAAATACTTTGTGCCTGCCCCGCTGGGGACCGAATGAGGTTTTTAGAGTTCGGCAGAGCCGTACTCTTACCATCTGACCTGAAAAACCACTCACCATACAAACTAATCGGCTTCGTTAAAAAGCTGGGCCTATTTGGTCGAGTGTGAAAGGTGTGAGCCACAATAAACCCTTGCGGCTTGCAGTGGAGGGTCAAATAGACCCACCCACTTTGGACCTAACCTAATCTAACCTGTATCAGAATCTGCAGACCTCGGCAAACAAATTTCGAATCTTTTCGAATGCGTTCTTTTGTACGCACATGAATTTATAAATTTTGCACGTTCAACCGAATCCCAAACGCTGATAACTTCGAAAGTGAAATAATTTTTCGAGCTTATACTCCAAACTGGACAGCGGTGCTATTCAAGATTACTGCAGTACAAATGACCAACCCCATTGACTGCAAGCTCGAAAATGGCAATCTAACCAACGAAAATAATAATAAAAAACCGGAAGACATAGTGATTGGTCTGATAGAGTTTATCTAGACTTGGCTGCCAGTGTTGCCAACCGTGGCGGAATTCCGCTACCGTAGCGCAATTTACTCAACGGTAGCGGCGTAGCGGATTTGAACATAAAGGAACGGAATTTTCTACAAATGATCAATATCGAAAAAAATATGGAAGAAGAAGAGGCAGTGGACAGCACTCGAAGCTGACAGCCGACAATTGAATGCACAGTCAATACGTCATAGTCTTAGTTGCTGAGGCCATTACATGATGAAAGAGAAGAAGGAGATTTTTGAATATTGTCATTCATATAATCTTTAATATCTTGAAACTAGAAGTCTTGAGTATTATAAATTATATGGAACAAATTACAGTGGAAATGGAAGAAAGTTCTAGTCTGACTAAGTACGTGAACAAATTGATATTTAGTTCCTCTTATAATATAAAACAAATGATATCTTATAAGTACCTAATCATAATGAAAGTGTGATGTGATGTTTATTTAGTTTTATTGATTTTGACAGCTTTCAAAAATCAACTGCTGTGAATTTAGAAAACTTGGTGCCATCTACTGAGTTGCGCGATTGAAAGTAAGCATGATCCTGATTCCTGACAGTTCCAGTTTTATGTATCTGAACGGTACACATACTATAAGTTATGTGGTATATAACTTTCTATAGGGCGTATGCGCAAACTGATTTGTGTCATATACCCAAGCGTAACAGAATATGAAGCAGTGTAGCGGAATTTTGGTTCATGTGTAGCAACTTTATAGTTCATCCAGTTGGCAACACTGTTGTCTGCATCGACTTGTCAGTCAGCATGAGTCACTATTGAGTAGTGCTAGTGGTAACAGCGGCGTTGGTCCTGGAAAAGAGTAGTTCGGTCGTCAGTTAGACAGAATGACAGTTGGAAGGAATTGTCGCGATCATTAAAAATTATCTGCTTCAAACGATGTACGAACTTTCAGTCGTGAAGATATAATATAATCAACATGGACGTTTACGAGTGGTCTTCACTGTGTGGATTGATACATAAAACTGACAAAGTTTCACATAAACGAATGCGGTTTCTGAAATGCGTATTATTCTGATTCACTTGACTGCAGCGATCATTGTAAAGGTTATAAAACCATTTTAGAGGACACCAAAGTGCTTATATTGGAAAAGCACGGTGCCACCTTTGAAATATAGAAAGATCCAGCTTCGTGAATCATAGGAGCCAACCCTCACCTAATAATCAACAGGGTGGCTATATTGAACAGCATCAACTTTCGTTCCTGGATACCACCACAATTTTTTCTAAAGTATAACTAGATACTTTCGAGGGAATCCCATTGTCAAACTGGGGCGGTTTTAACTCTTCGACACATTTTGTGACGTATGTCATGACAGCCTACTTTTCAGGGCACTCAATAAATTTTCTTAACTTAATGGTAGAATGGATACGGTAGGAATTTTTGAGTTTCATTCCTTTGTTCCTCCATATTGAATTTGATGGATAATTTTTGACTGATAAACGCAACGCTTTTCTTTCAAAAATGATTCAAAAAAACGATGTATTTTCTGAAGTCAAGCATTCCATCAGATTTGAATAGTAGGCACATCAAAATATCGATGCGATAGATGTATCGAAATTATTTTGAATGAAGTAGTTCATACATTTTCACGAGATGGAAGAGATATATGTTTTGTGCATATTTTTTTATCGATAAAAACATGATGTGTGTTAGCTGGCACGAAATAAAATAACAAAAGTACTGTGTAACTTACATCCACATTAGTCGTGAATATTGAAAAATTCATCGATATAGAGATATGCAAATAAATTATCTCACAACTCTTAATCTCACTTTCATGATTGTTACATCAAAATTATTATTCTTCTCTATCTATACGAATAATTGGTTCAGATCCGACATCTCTCAGTTAAAGGCTGAACTGAATTGTGCTAAAACAGAATGAAAATTCACAAGTTTGGATAATATTTCATGAGGCGTACATCTCCAGAATGAAAATACTTGAAGGCTTACTTTTACACAAACTCTGAATTGATTGTGATGGCCTTTTCAGTAACATTATATATACCTGATTTTTCCATTCTATCCCGTCTGGGTTTTGCAATAGACAGGGGTCTACCTAACTTATTATTACTTGTGAAAGCTGTTGAAATTTTGTATTTAGAGAAATAACTTTGAATATTTTCTGAAAGTTTACCTGAGTAATTGATGCTACTGTACTCAACTATATTCAACAAAGTGAATTATCTCTAGAAAATTATCTGGTCTAGGTAGCGATCGAACTCAACACCTTTCGATCATAAGTAGGGCGCATTACCACTGCGTCAATTCACCGAATAGTTGATATTACATTCACCCCTCAGAAGAAAATTATTTCCTTACAAAAGCTCCTAGTATTTACTTTTCATAAGGAAATAATTGAAGTTTATGATAGTTAATGTATAAATTATAAATAATATGTCTTAATTGCTAGGAAAGAAATGTACCCTACTCTAATTTCAAATAACACTATTTCATTAGCAATTTGTCAACACTCACATCAAAACTGATTTGACTGGATGTTAAATAGACCAAATACAAAATGCTTCTTACCTCCTGCAGCATATTTCTTCCCAAGTAACTTCAAGTAGGTGTTAAAATTATCCAGGGCAATATGCGTTTTCTTCAGACCCAGAGGAGTCCTTTGATAATCAAAAAACATTGGTGCCAACTGAAAAAAATGTGCATATGTATACTATATGAATATTACTGGAGTTTTTTTCCCTAACACCAAATTGTTATTTTTAACACCACACGTTTTTCAAAAGTTTTAAAACTGTTTTAATCTTCCTCTTTGAAGATGATCACTTGGTGATCGAAACACGTGTCGAGGTGTTAAAAATAACGATTTAGTGTTGGGGAAAAACCTCCAGTAATATTCATTACTACACCAAAGGTTCCAAACAGTGCATCATATGTACACTATATGTTTATTATTTGCATGAAACTTCACTTGTGGAAAGACTACAGACGGTGATTAATTCATCAAATTATATTACAGGAATGAATATCTACAAGTTTGGACAGTCTTTCAGAATTTCCACCATATAGGTACCGATAGAAGATGACCAACTGAAGTTCTTTGCTGAGAACACAGAGTCAATGTATTTTGTCTTGTAATGAGAAAGTATTAATTTTTTATTGGAATGAAAAATAACTATTACAGAATGATTTATTTTGCTGAAACGTATTTTTAACAGTAGCATTGAATAAGTTGTTTGCCACACGGTAGCTTCATCAGTTACTGGTTCATGAAACCATTCTACAATGTCTTTCATATTAAAGTAAGTAATGACAAAACTTATGATATAAATGATTAAATCTGGTAATATGGGTAGATTTTGAAGAAACAATATTACTTCAGGAAAACAGGTAAAATGTTGGTCTTTTATGTCAAACTGAATTAGGTAGATGAATAATTTCAGCAAAACAGGTATATTCAGGAAGAACAATCAATACAATTCACGATTAATAATTATGTTTTCAAATTCTACTTGTCTTACCACATCTAATCGTGTATCTGATAAGTTTCGTTATTATCTTGTTATATAAAAGATATTCTAGAGTAGTTTGATGTACTACTAATTGATGAAGTTACCGTGTAGCGAAACGCATCTTCAAAAGAAAATTTATTGTGAATTTTCTATAATTATTATCATGGATAGTTGAATTTCATTGTTAATATGGGAAATATTTTTCCATACATGCAAAAAGGTCATTTTAGCACAAACTTATTTGTCAACGGCAAATAAATTGAGATTTCTCTCAAAGTTGTCACTTTTTGTAGTGAATAACTACTTTGTTTTATGATAATTGTACACAGGTATTTGAGTATCCTGTAGAGTGTCATATATATTTCAGCTCGAGCAATATAGCTTAATTCCCCAAATTTGCAAACATCAGATGAGAGCAATAGTATATACAGAGCAACCTAAAATAATAATTGACATCAAGGTTCAATTTGTATCTGTAAGTATTATTTTGTTCACAAAATAAGTAATCATACTTGGAGACTGGCTGTGAATCAGATTATCTAAAAGAACAACTCGTTCAGTCTCAAATTACCTACAGTGTAGGTTGATGGACTGACACCTATTAGAAAACAACTACTCCCTTAGGTAATACCACGAAGGGCGTTGTATAATATCCGATAGGTGTCAGTACAACTGGCGGAATCGATTCTGGCAGTTGTATCGCCAACAGCATAAGCAGGAATAACTTCAGTGAAGAATTCTGCACTGACACCTGCCAGGGGAGTAGATGTTTTCTGATAGGTGTTAGTTCATTCATCTACAGTGTAGGTAATTTGAGACTGGTCTGAACGCATTGTTCTTTTAGATAATTTGTATTATTTTGTATTGCGTCATAAAATTCACTGCATTCATTTATACTTTGTGCATCTCAGCGGGGTCAAGTTACTGCAGCTTGTCAAATGTATGAAGAGCTTTCTGAAACCTGTTATAGTCCCGCCCGCGTTCGTTAGAAGACTATGAGACTGAGAGAGATAATTTTAAAATCTCTTTCCAGATTTGACAAGCTGTACAACACTTTGAACTTATCCAAGGGTCAAGTTACAATCACGAATGTGTAATATACTCGTATCTCGTATATATTTCACGCAATAAAAAATTACATTGTCCAATTGATTGAACCTCTTGAGTTACCTGTCGTAACTGAAAAATCCACTATAGCAAGTGGACTCATTAAGTGTCTATTTCATAGATATTTTTTAGTACAATGAGTGCCTTTTCAAATTGGAAGAAAATTGTTCGGAGACAGAATGTAATATAAAATGAAAGTCAGGTAACTCTTCTGCCGGAAAAAGAAACTCCTTCTTTGGAACACAGACGAGTCTTCAGCTCCTTTCGAAGACAGAGCGCGATGGTTGGACTTGGATAATGAACAACCTTGCTTTATTCTGAGAAAATGAATATTGAGAGAGTATATTATGAATTCATCATATTTATCAGTTGACTTGCTCCGATATTCATTTATGTAAAATTCGAATAGAGAGATATTTCGTCACCAAAAAAGTTTTACCCTAGTTTATCATCATAATCTTTGTTGTTCAAAACTGTAACGTATTTTTCATTTCAGTTTCACATATTTCACAATGTGCACTCTCGATTACATTTCATGATATGCATTATATTTGAAGTTATTTTCCTGTGAATAAATAACTCCAACTTGGAAACCCGGGATTCCGGGTTTCCAATTTACTGTGAGTGGTTCAGTTAACAGATTGCTTGATTTTTCCAGAATTGGAAGATTTTTACAGATTTCATTGGAATGTATCACGAGAATCACTGGACAGTACGAGTCTGCGCGGGGTTAATTTGCTAATACTGAAGAAATGATACATCAGATGTAATATTAGGTTATTTCAAAGGTCCACATCTCAATGAATATTCATTCTACTGTGTCGTGTATACACTGTTCGTAGATGATTTTGTATACTTAGTATACATTGATGCTGTTAATTTTTTCCAGAACTTAATTTTTTTGCCTTTTTTCAGCTCATGTCGTTGAGCGTTTTACGGCAATATGTTTTCTACGGATTTGAATCGAACCAGAGCGCTGCTGAAACAGCCCGAAAAATCAACCAGATATATATTTGATAGGCCAAATGCCTATCATTGTCATTAACATTGGTTGATGAACGCACTTTTCCACGGTGGTTTGCAGAATTTCATTCCGGAGATTTTAGCGTCGAAGTTGAGCCCCAAAGTGATCGACCTACATTAATCCAGGACGAAGATTTGAGGACCCTGGTGGTGGCTGGCCTATCACAACCGGTGCTTGGGATGGCGGAAGAACTGGATGTCAGGTCCTATGTAATTTTTGATGGCCTGAAACTTATTGGGAAGGTCAAATAGCTCGAAAAATGGTGCCACACGATTTGAAAGATCGACAGAAATTGTCACGTTTCAATGTCTGATCTTCTTTCGTTTTCGTAACCAAAACGACTATTTTTGGATCAGATCGTCAAGTATAATGAGAAGTGAATCTACGACGTTCAAGACAGTGGTTGAGTACCAATGAGCCACTAAGCCTCTTCCCAAAGGTAAAAATCCGTCAAAAAAAGACCATGGGTACTGTCTGATGGTTGGGATGGCTTGGGATGTGGGGGTTGAGCAAACCGGCCATCGGATGCCTGCTTCCACGTAGCCCCGCTGGATACGGGAATGACAGAATCACTTGTGGTTCTGTTATTTCCTAACTGAATGGCATCCCAACGATGGCTTAGTCCTAATGTGTGTGTATCCGTGCCGAAAGGATGAACGACACTGAGCCTATCAGCTGTCTCTACGGAACCTTTGAGATACCGGGCGCTCTCTCGTCGTAGCATCGCCTTGTCACGGTAATGCGGGGCTCTGCCGTGATTGACCTTCTTTCCCTAGCTATTCGTGGGACCTTTATTTACAGAGTTAATTCGAAAAATTTTTTCTGACGCTAAGTCTATAGAGGAGATGGATGTCGAGCTTACGACTCCAACTGACCTCCATGTAAACTTAGATCAGAAGCGATTCTATAGAGGAGATGGATGTGGAGTTTACGACTCCAACTGATCTTCCTGTGAATTTAGTTCAGGAGCGAGTCTACAGAGAAAATGGATGTCGAGTTTACCACTCCAACGGACCTCACTGTAAATTTAATTCAGGAGCGAGTCTACAGAGGATCGATGTCGAGTTAACGACTCCAACTGGCCTCCCTGTAAATTTTGTTAGGGAGCGAGTCTTCAGAGGAGATGGATGCCGAATTTATGACTCCAGCAGACCTCACTGTAAATTTAGTTCAGGAGCGAGTCTACAGAGGAGATGGATGTCGAGTTTACGACTTCAATTGACCTCCCTGTAAATTTAGTTCAGGAGCGAGAGCTGCGGCGTACGCTTAATCTGTCTCAGTTGAAGGAATTAACCCCTTATGAGCAGGTTAGCAAACGTTTGCGCTCAAGTGAAGTTTCACCAAAACCAGAGGCGAAAAAGCCCTGCACGGCTGAATATAAGGCATAGTCAGGTGTAGTTGACGTGCAAAAACACTCATATGGGAAGGTTTTCGTGGGTATCAAGGTGGGAATCTTGCAACTTGACTATCCGACTACCTCATTAACAGAGCATATGCTTAGTGCCTGCCCCGCTGGGGATCGAATTAGGTCTTTAGAATTTGGCAGAGCCGTACTATTACCATCTGACCTGAAATACCACTCACCATATAAACTAATCGGCTTCGTTGAGAAGTTGGGTTTGTTTGGCCGAGTGAGAAAAGGTGTGAGCCAGAATAAACCCTTGCGGGTTGCGGTGAAGGGGCGAATAGACCCACTCACTTTGCACCTAACCTAATCTAACTGTATGATGGTCAGCGACTGGTGTGATTCACTAGAAATTTCTGCAACCCGTCAAACCATCACAGCAGAGTTGTATTGAGAGTAAATCGACGAAATGTTCCGTAGATTGAATCAGCAGCAGTCGGCACTGGTCAACAGAACACGGCACGACAACACTCCTCTGTACGTTTCACATATTACCGTCCGAAATTTGAGCGTCAAAGTTTGGCCGCAACCACCATATTTCCCTCACCTCTTGCCAACGAACTACCATCTTTTCAAATACTCCCGAAAACTTTCTCACCAGAAAAAACATATTCAATCAGGCAAATACGGCCTTCGTCGACTCCATTGAATCTCAAGTACACAATTTTCATTCTGTTCCGTTGCCAAAAGTGCACTTATTTGAATGGGGCATATTTTGATTGAATTGAATAAGAATTCGCCAAGATATTACAGTTCAAAATAGATCCATGAAAACGGACAAAACTTTTGAAAAAAACCAATAAATTGGTATAAATTGTTTCAGGAAATATCAGTCAATAATCCATGGAAAAATGAGTGAACTCACCGTGTATTCAGAAATATATCTGTAGTAAGTGGACAAGTTGAAACAGAGTCTGTGATTCACAACTGCTCTAGCCATTGGATCTTTTGGATATATGGTGTCATCTTTTCCATATCGTTCTGCCAGGTACTGGAGAATTGCATTACTGAAAATGAAATTATCATAAACTTAAGTAATGATTTTAATTATGCCTAGAAACGATTGCAAAACTTCCGGGTCTACTGAGACTTTTATTTTTCTCACAATCCCTCAGTCATCATTATTATTTATCTCAAATGATATAGTGTTGAATAAAACTGTCCGATACTTGATGGAAATCCATATTAAAACTAATTAATACAGTATATTGTATGATTTTCACTATAAAGCTATTGTATAGCGAAACACGTGTCGCGGTTTTTGTAAAACCCTTAATGATAAATTGGTTATGGCTTTCGCAGCCGGTCATCGGTGAACCATCAAGATGAATAAACCTCTGAAAAAGCCAGTCACTCGTGCTGTCGAAACGTTAGGATACAGTTCCAAACTACAACGGCCTTCAAACCCGAATGATAATCGTTACAATGAAAATCTCGGCCGCGAAAGCCTCAACCAATTTATCAGACGCCTCTATGGGAAAGCAATAATGAAGCAATACTTCTTCTGAAAAAAGAAAGGCACACTTACTTGAAACATTGTTGTGGAATTGGCCGCGGTGGTAGTGCGCCCGACTCACGATCGGAAGGTCGTGGGTTCGATTCCCGCCTCGACCAGATATTTTTCTCAAGAGAATTTATCTGGTTGAAGCTGGGATGATTCTGCAACCGTGTTAGGAATCACACGTTGTAAGGTAAGATCTCGTTAGTCGTTAGCTCGCACAAGTTTCTCAACTTCTGAGAGTTGTCAATCGTATGGGGGCGACAGCTGATTAACGGAAAAACAGATTTCAAACAGATTTCAGATTTCTTATGCCGCTCAGTCATCGGTAAACCATCAAGATGAATCAACCTATGAAGAAGCCAGCCACTCGTGTTGGCGAATCGTTAGGATACAGTTACAAACCACGACGGCCTTCAAACCCGAATGAAAATCGTAACAATGAAAACCCTTTATAGTGAAAATCATACAATAAACTGTAATAATTAGTTTTAATATTGTGTTATTATAATTTGCTATATTTTTTCAAAAAATTGAAGGAGGGTGCTAGAATCATAAAAAATCAAGAATAGTGGATAGCTTCTCCTTTCTTTACAATTATAATGAGTTTGATTTTAATCGAATGAATTATTGTCTTCAAAATGGCAGGAATACTATGTGGTTTTGTGATCGTACAGATTTTTCAAAAAATTAAAAAAAGTACTTTAAATGTTCCATGTCTTATAATCATTTCCTTCAACTGATATACATTTTTTTTCAATGTTCAATAGATTCTGGTTACCTTGTTGGACAGTTTTTGATCTTTATGAATGAATATCACGATTAATATATGATGGTTATCAGAATTGTGGATTTTCTCTTGAAATCATTTTTGAAAATCTCTCACCGAATGGCTTGGTTGGTATTCAATTACGATTTTTCTCTAGAAGCTATTGTGAAAAATGTTTCAAACATAGATAAGGAATACTCGGAAAGACATTTCATATTTTAAAACCCAGTCACCACTGTTCATTACTTTGTTTTGAACGTTATTTTGCCAGTTGGTATACAAACTTACCTTTCTCCCAATAGGAAACCATTATCATCTAGAACTGGTATTTCCTTTTGTGGATTTTTCTGAAAAAATTAATTATGTTCAATAAATTGATGGATGTAGCCGTTACTACGTGGTAGGAGATCATAATGAAGAAAAGAGAATTGAAAAATTCTATGTTTTTACCACTTTTATTTGTAACTAACGTTACTGCAGTTCGTCCTATGAGAACATTTTCAAACTTATACATTAAATTTATACAATAATTATGATCATTTCTGGAATGAGCCGCTGCTTGTGATGAATTTGCTGAATCATACTTTTTATAGTTCACAAAACAAAAGTTTTTCAGAAATGTCTAGCCCTGAACTAGAATACTAGAATATGGTAGAACAAACCGACACTTGATGAAAATCCATCGTATCCATTATAACAAATAATATATTGCGATGCCTGAAGATGCTATTGTATAGCGAAACACGTGTCGCAGTTTTGTAAACTGCCAAGTAGAAATCTCACATTGGAGTGTTTTTTTAAAACGTTATAGAATACTGAAGTTCATTAATCTGTCCTGCTGATTACGATATCTATATACTTCCCAAGGTTTGCTTTTTTTTAAAAGAGAAAACACAAGCACTACAGGAAAATCCTTAAGGCGCTCGTAGAGCGGTGCCTGTGTGAAAGTAGTGATTCAAAGTAGATTTGAATCGCTGGAGATTGAATCCATTTGGAAAACCATTCTCAGGAAGTTTATTCCACATAAACGCAGTTCTTCAAATGAAAGAGTTCTTGAACAGTGAAGTTCGAGGTGTACTGAGTTGAATCTCATAATGATGAGCAGCCAAAGTCTGTCACGTATTTCTGATATGTACCGCTCTTGGTGGTATCAAATTTGCCAAGTTTTTATCTGGCAATATATTTATGTGAGTGTGCAGTGTTTTTCCAAATGTCATTACACTTGTGTTTGAGAGGGCGTTACGTGCCAGCATGTCGGCTTTCTTATTTCCTGGGATTTTCATAAACGGTGTCTGTAAACAGAAATTTCAATCTTCAACTACCAACAAACTGCACGAAATAAATCTCAACATGGAAATAAAAAATTATACCCCAGTAGAAAAACTCAAATAACCATAAGTTGCCTAAGAATTGGACAAACCCGTCTCACACACCAACATTTACTGAAGAAGGAAGCTCGAAGTAAATGTGAACATTGCAAAATGGAACTAACAGTGGAACACCTATCCACATGTCAACAATAACAACAACAAGAGTTAACGAATTGAAGCTAACCGAAGACATAACACCATTCTAAATAGCGAATGGAATAATGTAATAAAATATGGTTAACGAATTCATGTATTCAATTCAATTCAATATCTATTGAAATGAACTGTATCTCATATGTACCGCCGCTAAAAACCCTATGTGGTTGATGCGGATTGAAACTTAAATGAAAAAATGTGACAAGTCACAAAATCATAGTTGAAGTCCCCCATAGATTTTAGCATATTGTCAAATTCTCAGATTCTTTCATATAGATTTCCCACAATCGTTCGATGCAATTCCTGGAGATTCACCTTGTTTAGGTCTTGAAACCGCTGTAGTGTTACCAATATATATTAGCATAGAACCCGATTGGGTATTGGGTCTATGAGAAATATAAGTTATACTGGGAAAATATACCTGAGAACATACAAAAGAAACGTTTTATATACAGGAACTGTCTGACAAAAGCCGATATCGTCTCAGAAAAATTACAGGGCTACTCAGTAGATGTTCATTACGAGGACATCTGAACTATCTGGGGCTATACATCAAATACCTCAGTTTGAAAAAAAGCGATTTATTTCCAACAGGAGTACCCAGTTACAGGAAATGTTATTATTACAAAGTATATATCTGTTTTAAAATCTGTTTTTCCGTTAACCAGCTGTCGCACCCCTACGAACGACAACCCTCAGAAGTCGAAACTTTTGCGAGCTAAGGACTAACGAGGTCTTACCTTTTAACGTGTGATTCCTAACACGGTTGCAGAATCATCCCAGCTTCAACTAGATACATTCTTTCGAGAAAAATATCTGGTGGAGGCGGGAATAGAACCTTCCGATAGTGAGTCGGGCGCACTACCACCGCGGCCAATTCCGAAGAAATTGAGATTCGTAAATGAGCGGGTAGCTTTTTCAATTCATTCAGTGACAGTACTAGTAGTAATGAAAGCGTCAATAATTGTTGAAATAACTAACTAATACAGTTTATTGTATGATTTTCAATATAAAGGGTTTTTTCAAAAACCGCGAAACCGCTATAATAGCTTTCTCGAGTTTCTCGGTTTTTGTAAAACTGTAAAACCCTTTATAGTGAATATCATACAATGAAGTCTATTTGTTAGTTTTAATGTGAATTTTCATCAAGTATCGGCCAGTTCTATGCAATCATTGTTGAAATTTAGGTGAAAATACTATATGCCGTAAAAACGGAAAAGCATATTTTGCCTCAGACAACGTTCGATCTCAAAAAGTACAGGATCATAGTGGGACTATTGCAAGAAAAAACGTTTTTCTTCTATTTTTGTTTAGCCGGGCAGATGTGGTATTATTTTCGCGTATTCTTCTCTGTATGACTTGTTATGACAGAAATTGAAGTTTTACATCGGCGACTGCGGTTTCGTAGACGCAATGACAACAGCGATCATTGTAAAACCATTTATGAGGACACAAAAATGTTCTTCCTTTGAATACATGGTGCCCTCTTTGAAATAGTGAAAGATCAAGCTTTGTACATCGTAAAAGCTGATCTTCATCTGACAACCAACAAGGTAATCATCTTGGGTAGCATCAAATACCCACTACCGCATTTTGATGAATTTAACCAAATATTCTCACTGTGGGGCGGCTGGAATTCTGCAACATACTTTATGTCTGCTTTCCAATGANCAAGCAACAATAGAAATTTGTATGAATATCATAATATTCAGATTATTTTGCGGTATTCAAAGGTAAAACTGTCAAAAAATTCTTCTCTGAAACACCTCTCATTTTAGATCATATGTTTTACGATTATAGTTTTTCCATAATGATAAAGGTCTCGAGTCCTCCAATCCGTAAACACGAGTATGGACTGAAAATTTATGAACCGTGTGGCTGACAATGAGAAAACTGGCAGTGCCTAGAGGAGTTGCCAAAAAGCTGCTGAACTGTCTTCACTATGAAAGTCACCAGTCGTGAATTTAACTCCAGAAGGATGTGAGAACTACTTCAAATCTTCACAAACCACTGGTTAACTCACTGACAAATCTTTGTATACAGTTGTATTTCATAGTGCCTGAGCTAACAAATAACGTATTTACGTTAAATCGTCTGAATGCATATACTAGTGTAGGGATAATGAATAAAATATCCTCACTTTCTATATTTTTTTATATTTCGTACCTTCGACGGTAACTTACATGATAATCAGACAGATCAAGTCATTCAAATATTAAAATAAGTTTTTTCAGATGTTAACTGAATATTTTTAAATATGATAGTTATCAACTGGATTTGTACATTTTTTCTTGATTTTTACCACATATTCGAGCTGTTTTGCTACACTGAACGTTTCCGAACAATTTTCAAAACCCTGTTTTTGTTTAAAAATCTGTTTAAAATATGGTTTTCCGTTAATCAGCTGTCGCCCCCATACGTACGACAACTCTCAGAAGTTGAGAAACTTTTGCGAGCTAAGGACTAACGAGGTCTTACCTTTTAACGTGTGATTCCTAACACGGTTGCAGAATCATCCCAGCTTCAACTAGTTACATTCTTTCGAGAAAGATATCTGGTCGAAGCGGGAATCGAACCCACGGCCTTCCGATAGTGAGTCGGGCGCACTACCACCGCGGCCAACTCCGAAGAAATTGAGATTCGTAGATGAGCGGGTAGCTTTTTCAATCCATTCAGTGACAGTACTAGTAGTGATGAAAGCGTCAATAATTGTTGAAATAACTAACTAATACAGTTTATTGTATGATTTTCACTATAAAGGGTTTTTTCAAAAACTGCGACACGTGTTTCGCTATAATAGCTTTCTCGAGTTTCTCAGTTTTTGTAAAACTGTAAAACCCTTTATAGTGAATATCATACAATGAAGTATATTTGTTAGTTTTAATGTGAATTTTCATCAAGTATCGGCCAGTTCAATGCAATCATTGTTGAAATTTAGGTGAAAATATTATATGGCCTCAGACAACGTTCGATCTCAAAATATACAGGATCATAGTGGGACTATTGCAAGAAAAAACGTTTTTCTTCTATTTTTGTTTAGCCGGGCAGATGTGGTATTATTTTCGCGTATTCTTCTCTGTATGATTTGTTATGACAGAAATTGAAGTTTTACATCGGCGACTGCGGTTTCGTAGACGCAATGTAATTTTTCATTTGTATTGGTTCTTTTAGGGATTTCAAATAATTTTATATAATATTACAGTGGAAGTCCGAACTAATGGAATTTATCATTGATTTTACCCTTACCTGTGCAAATTCTTCAGTCATATGTTCACCAATTCCAAAATCTACATTCACCAGTTTGTGTTCCAAACCTAAATATTCCAATGCTTGTCTAACAGCCAAAGATGGCGGTCCATCTGATACAGAATAGAGTGTTATTGGCATGTTTCACACAATGACAATTTGTTATCAAAAATGTAACCCTTGTTGATGTTCACTTCTGGTGCTGTTCACTTGAACAGTTGCTGTAAAACTTCATAAACTCACTGAGAAATTTGCTTCGGCATTGAACGATACGTTCACTGTTATTTTTATGATATATCTGCGTTCGAGTGAGACAGCGAATGAATGCAACAAACACTAACTGGTTCAAGGTAAATTCAAGGTTTTTCCAATATCTCATTAAGACAACTTTTCATTCCATGAAATCTTATTGAGAATGACAAAGCATATTTTGACTACTAATTTTCTAAGAAACTTCTCTTACCAAATTGTATACCGTGTTGTCTGAAAATATGTTTGAAATTGTTGAATGAATTGAAATAGTTTGAAAATAAACTGAAACACAATCTTATTCAACCGTAGATAAGTATCTGTAGGTATCTGATTCGAAATTACATAAATTCCTTCATGCTGATTAACTGAAAAACAGATTTATTAAAACAGATTTGAAAATGAATCGATATAGATTCTAGCGTAAGCATCTTTGTTCGACAGACTGCAATTACTTTTTTTAATGAAATATACAACGTTTCAAAGAAAAAAACCGCAGCCGAAGTAAACACATTGAAATTAATGAGCATGGGTCAAAAAATGTAATGCTGATAAATCAACTTGTGTATATTTTTTAATTTTCCAATCAACAAGTGGAATTATTTTAAGAACTGATTCATAATGTACCATACACTTCTTGATGAAAATATTAAATACTGTGAATTGAGATAAATTACAATGATATAACGGGGGTCCAATTATAGTCATCCAGGACAAAACTTCATTTTCACTGACATGCATTACATACAGAGTGGTCCAAAGAAAAGTATGCACCTTGCTTTTCTCCTTTTTTTGTAACTTAACGCAAAAATGCTCGGATAGGTCAGTTTTGCTTTTGAGGGGGACACATTTCAGATGTATTTTTCTACCTGTGCCTTCAACCCCCTAGCGAGGGGGAGTAACAACTCTAAAATTATAAATGGAAAGTGGAGTCTAGTGATATATCATTTGAAAGGGCACAAAATTGTCTTTCCAATGATACCTAATTTGTTGTATTCCACTCAAACATGTAGGTAATATGAAGAAAAACAACTACAACCCAGTACTTTGAAATGTGTAATTGACTTAGTAGAACCTACTTCAAGTGCTGAATATGTGACCCATTTGCTTCCACACAATAATACATATTCTGTTCAGATCTATTCCTAACATTCTGTAGCATATCAGGTGTTATACTTCTGCACTCTGCTGTAATTCGTTGGCGAAGATCTTCTATGGACTCGGGCTGCGTAACAAAACATTTATTTTTCGAATGTCCCCAAAGGAAACAGTCTGAAGGCGATAAATCAGGTGACCTGGCAGGCCATTCGATGGGGCTTCTCCTTCCAATCCACCGTCCAGGAAACCGGTCATCAAAAGTTATTCAGGGTGAGTCGTTTTCAACTCACATAATTTGTAGCTCCTGAACCATAAGCTTCAAACCATATATTTTATACTTTGTTGAAATCTGCTCATCATGGAGCATCTGATTATGCGAAACAATATAGGGTGATCCATTTGAAGAAAGTTGGTGACATGCTCTGGGGGTGCGAAAGGGGAAGTAACATCAAATGTGAATATGTCAAAATGTCTCTCTGTAGTTGACGTTTATTTAATTTTTCCTGCAAATCATTGTACCAAAAGTTATTCAGGGTGGCTCGTTTCAAGTGGAATGCACTGTATACTCTTACCTCTATTGAATGCAAATTATCTTTACCGAAGTTACGATCTACTTTTAGTATCAGTGGCAGTGAAAGTGACAGCTTTTACTGGATACTGCCGACATTAAGAGTGATTATCAAAACATCATGCATTTTTCACGTTAAAAAATGGTATGTTTTATTCGGTCTCACGCCAACCGTCACTTTTTCTTCTATAAAGACAATATATTATCAAGACATCAAGCTCAGTACCTATATATTTAAATCTATTCTTGCCATTGAAACTTCCAAATCATCAATGTTATTTGAAGATGATTGGCAATGTTTTATGACGAATTACATGAGTGCAGACTTCCATTGTCTAATGTTATAAAATGATTTGAAATCTCCAAAAGAAACAATA